AAGGGCTGTCATGGAGCTCCTGCAGGATATTTAATCTAAGACTAGCTGGGATAACAGGTCGAAATTCGTTGTTGGAATTCGTAGTTTTTGTATAGAATAATAGACCATCTATTAGTTCGTAATGGGCCGCCCTATTTCTTATCGCCACAATATCTTGGTGGCTAAAATTTTCAGGTTCTTTTAAATACTCATAAATGTTTCCAAACTCAGGATCCTTACCCAGTTCGGTTATTACAGTTTTTCGGGAATTTATTGTACATGCTGTGAGCATTGCCACCTTTACAGTATTACCTTCTTCATCTATTTTTATTCTGGTTAGGGCATCTGCTACGATATTTTCCTTTCCGGGGGTATGCTTGATTACCAGATTATATTCTTGTAGCTTGAGTGCCCATCTTATTAACCTTGGGGATAAGTTTTTCCCTGAGTACAATCTAGTTACCGCCGCATGATCAGAATACACTGTTATTGGCGCTCTTCCAAAATAGATTCGGAACTTTTGGACTGGTAACAGAACTGCAAGTGCGTCTCAGGTCGCGGAATAATTTCTTTGTGTTTGATTTAAAGTTCGACTAAAAAATGCCACGGGCTGCTGATTTTGCGAAAGTACCGCTCCTACCGCATAATCCGAAGCATCCGCTGAAATTTCTAAATTCTCATCCTTTTCAGGAAATTTCAACACAGGGGCTTGCGTTAATGCTTGCTTTAATTTTTCGAAAGCACTATTGGCTTCGGCCGTCCACGAGAATCTTGCCTTTTTCCTTTTTAATTTTAACAATGGTTCAGCAATAGCTGCAAAATCTTTTATAAAGGACCTATAATATGAACAAAGTCCTAGAAAAGAAGAGAGCTTCTTCGCCGTATTTGGCGGCGGATACTTTTGTACAGCGATTATTTTTGATTCGTCTGTCTCGATTCCTTTCTGAGATATTTTGTAACCTAAGTATTTTAATTCAGGGGCTGCAAATTTGCACTTTTCGACATTAACTTTTAGACCGGCCTCATTTAATAAAGAAAACACCTGTCTTAAATCCTGTACATGTTGGTCCAGATTATCACTAGTAATAATGATATCGTCTAAATAGATAAATGTGGACTTTCCAAGAACAGGCCTTAGCACAATGTCCATACATCGCTGAAATGTTGCCGGTGCCCCTGAAAGGCCAAACGGCATACGCAGGAATGCATAAGTGCCAGACTTGGTTATAAAAGCAGTCTTAGGCACGTCCTCCGGTCTAACCCCTATTTGAAAATAACCAGTCGTTAAGTCTAAAGTCGTCATATATTTGGTAGACGTTATGTTCCTTAGAATTTCTTCAATAATAGGTAACGGATATACCGGATATTTAGTTATGGAGTTTAATTTACGATAGTCAATCGCGAAACGCCACCTTTTTGGATGTGTTAATGGATAGTCATTATTTTTCTTACATAAAACCACCGGGCTAGCATAACTACTTGAGATGGGCGTTATGATCTTTTTACGTAACATATCGCTAATGTGCCATTCTATAATTTTTTCTTTATTCTTATCATACCGGTATGCTTTGTGGCGAACTGGCAGTGAATCTCCGGTGTCGATACTATGGTTAGTAACTTGAGTAAATCCTGGGAATATCACTAAATAACGAAGCAAATTCACTTACCACTTGTCGGATTCTTTGTTGCTCTTCCTTAGGCAGGTGGTCAAGGTTTAACATTGGCGGTTCCGATTTTTCTTCTCGAACTGGTTTCATCGTCAGCTTAAGGGACGCTTCATTAAAATCCAGCGTTGCTTCTGCCTCTGAAAGAAAATCTATCCCTAAGATAATATGTGCTTGCAGATTCTTTACTATAAAAAACATAACCTTTACTTGTTCGTCCTTGATACGGACGTATAGCGGTAATTTACCTATGCACATGCATCTTTCTCCTTGCGCAGCTAACACTGTCGTATTATCCGAATTATATATGCGGTATTTCCGAAAATACTTCCTAAAAAAAACTTCTGCCACACAGGAACACTGCGCGCCTGTATCCAGGAGTGCGGTGGCTGGGATGTTATTCACCAACACTTCAATCTTTGGAAGAGTCAAATTTTTCACCATCACTGTATTTAACTTGAAGGAAGAGGGGTTTTCTTGGCCTTCGGATTTCCGCACCCTCCCGTCAGCAGAAATCCGTTTTAGTTTAAATCTTTTTTCCTTTCCATGCTTTCCTTCTTTTTCCACTGGCCTTGAGACTTTTTTCCTGGATTGCTATTGAACTGTCGACGTTCGCCGGCTGTTTTTGGATACTCGGGTTTCCTTGCCCACTGATTCGCTTTGCTTCCGTAGCCGTGTGCTTGACTTTGCTGTGGTCTTGGCGCACCAAATTGGTTTCGTTGTTGATACTGGCGTCTTCTTTCAATGTCCGCCGTTCTTCTACTTTCAAACTGGATTGCTAGCTCAAATAACTTTTCCAGTGTAGTCGGATTCCTTAATTCAATAAAGTCTTGTACTTGGGGAAGTAACCTCGGCAAAATCACTTGAATTATCTCAGGATCCGGACGGTTTCCATACAAGAGTTTGAAGACGTGAATTTTTCTTAAAATAAAGCTTGAGAGATTTTCAATTCGTTTCTGGTATATGCTGAAAAGTTCCGTTTCTAATTTTGCACGATCCCTTACGACAGGGAAGGCTTTTACTAAGGCAGTCTTGAAATTTTCGTAAGTATAGGTGGAACTTCCCGCTTGAACCCAAGAGACTTCTGCCTATACATTTGAACCAATTAAGCGCTTGGCCCCTCAAAGCGCTGGTAGCTAAGGTGAATTTTTTTTGGAAACTCGTGCACGGGATACAGCATGAAGTGGTCATCCAATTTTTCCAAAAAAACTGGTTACCGGTGAGTTTCCATTAAATGTTGCTTCTGGTTTCATCGCTGCGCGCATGGTCTGGACGATGTAACCAAATCCTTCCAGGGCGGCAGCTGGCATTTCTGGATTCTGAGCCGCTTCTGCAGGCAGCACAGGTTCTTCTTGAAACTCGGCCATGGTTATTCTTCTTCGTCGGGCGCCACTATCAGGTTCAGTGTTCTGCCTTACTTGCTTTGGGAACATTCAAGAACCTGACTCGGAACAGAGAGCTTACTAAAGCTATGTTCAATAAATGTGGGAAGTAGACAAGATACACAGGAAGGGTATACGAAACCCTTTATTTTTCACTCTTTACAATGATTTCCGGACTTCGGAATACAGAGACCAACCACTTGTGGTCTGAACGTAAGAATATAAAAATATTAACTAAACTCTAACTCAACTTTGGAGTAACAACAAGGGCCTCCGAGAAGATTGGCCGTTATATTAACAGGGAAGCCGTATGTAGTACAGAGAACTGTTAACACTACAATACGTTTAAAATTATCAAGAGGATTAAACCTCTGGCCAGGAAGGCAACCAGCAACCGAGTAAAAACTGCTAAGGCAAGCGGCCTGCTTCTACTAACTCCTTCCTCTTTTTGCTTGGCAAAAAGCCACAACTTAACTACTTGGCGTTCGCCAGACAAATTTGCATAAATAAGTTAAAGCTTTTAATTCTGGCCGGAAATAGAAAATAAGAAGTGATAGTAAAAATTTAAAATAAAATAAACGTTAGTAAAACTTAAGATCCTTACAATGTGGGCGTACCCAACTGGAAGTATCAGACGAACTTGGAATTGTCCAGAGTGTCATCTCCAGGCTTTGGCAACGATTCCAAGATGATGGTAATGTTAGTAAACGTTACAGCACAGGTCGCCCCAGAGTTGCAACGCGGAATGAGGACCGGTATTTGGCAGTTACTGCCAAGAGAAACAGGCAATTTCAAGGCAGACCGTGTACAGACGCTTAGGGCAGATTGGTCTATATGCTCGTAGAACTGTTAGATGCGTTCCACTTACTGCAACTCACTGTCTCCTGCGGTTAGCCTGGAGTAGAGAGCATGCATTGTGGACACCGCAACAGTGGGCTTGCGTGATGTTTTCCGAAGAGTCCAGGTTTAGCTTGCAGTCTGATTCTCGCCGGAATTTCATATGGAGAGCTCCAGGTACCCGTTACCACCAAGAAAACATCATTGAACGACACCGTTACAGTGGTGCAGGAGTGCTCGTTTGGGGTGGAATTATTCTGGTTTCCAGAACTGACCTGCATGTTCAAAGAGGAACCATGACAAGCCAAATCTATCGGGACGTCATTCTGGAACAACATGTACGTTTGTTTCGGGGCGCCATGGGCGCGCAATTTGTGTTTATGGATGACAACGCCCGTTCTCACCGTGCAAACATCGTAACCGAATGCATTCAATCGGAGGATATCAGCCGTATGGACTGGCCAGCATTCTCACTGGACTTGAGTCCAGTAGAGCACGTGTGCGACATGCTTGGCCGACGAGTTGCAGCCCGTCAACCTCCTCCTACATGTCTACCGGAACTTCGGAGAGCATTGCTTTTTGAGCGGTGTAATATCCCCCAAGATCAGATCGATAATTTGATACTCAGCATGTCTAGGCGTTGTACAGACTGTATTGCATCTTCTGGGAGACATACAATGTATTAACAATCATACCAATCATGTAATATTGGTTTTTTGTAAATAGTGGGTTTTTTTTTTTTTTTTTTTTTTTTTTTTTTGTAATTTGCTTCAGGGAGGAAAAAATCGCTAATTTTTTTAATAATATCAAACATGTAGCATCTTTTTTTTGCTCTTTACCTTTTGTTTAATAAATAAGCTTTACAAAAAAGTCAAATTTGTTTTTCTTCTAACTCTTCCTTTGCCTGATTTTGCATTATTATCCTTAATTTATGAACATGAGTGTATTTAGAAGAGTATGATTTCCTAGATGAGATTCCCCCTCCCCACCAAAATATTTTCCGAATGGTGTTTCAATAAAATCTGAATTTCACTATTTCTCATTAATTTTTAGACGACTGTAATTTATGGTGGTTCTATAAATTTTAGCATGACCATTATCATGCAGTTAATAAGACATTTTTATTGATTAATTTCAGTCTGAACAATACAATGCCCTAGTAGAATTAGTTTCTGAAGAAATAAAAGATTTGGAAGAAAGCATTAAAGGAAAACGAATTATAAATCAAAAACTGGAAGAATTGTCTGATGTTATGCTGAGAATGGAAGTTCCTAGACACTGGCAAAAGGTAAACATATTTTAAAAGCGCATTGTATGTAAAATCAACGAAATGTTGTATAATCATTATTTATTCTGTTAGATAAATTTTAAAAGTGCTAATTAATAATACATTCTGTAACCATAATTAATTCTAATAATTAAATTATAAGAATACTACTTGAATAAGGGTTATTGTTAGTAAACGTGTCTTTCATATCATGGCTTAATTTCTAGGTAAGACTTAATTTTGTTATGGTTGGCTTATATGAACAAAATTATGCCTTCCTCAAGATAAAATTATGTTGATCACAAAAATTTCATAGATTCAAAAGTCTTTTTAAGAGGTTAAAACAAAACTGCCATATATCCTGGGCCAAATTAACTATTTTGACCGTTCCCGAATTCATTCGGAATTCATTTTGTTTTTCAAAAACAGATTGTAAGATGTATTTAAAATGTGTTCAAAAGGAATTTGATTACGCTTGAACGTTGAAATTTTATATATGGGACAACTATAACATCTAGTTATGCTCCTCCCTTTTTTATTGGAATCTGTAGAACAAAACGTGTATATATATATATATATATATACACGTTTTATACACGTATATATATATATGTATACACGTATATATTTATATACACGTATATATATATATATATATGTATGTATATATAAACTAATAATTCATAATAATTTATAATAAGAAAACTTTCCATATACCATCTCTAAGGAACACAAATTTAAAACCATTAATGAGAAAAAATTTTTAGAATTTAAATTAGTAGTTTAAATTCCAACTATTTGTTATATATATATATATGTGTGTGTGTGTGTGTGTGTGTGTAAACTAATAACATCATTATATATCTATAGATATAGGTAATAGATATAGATATATAATGTCATATTAGTTTTGCGGAACAGCTGCACATCATTTGTGGTGTGGACGGAGATAGCAGATAGCTGAAGTTACTCGTTGTAGATAAATGGAGGAAAATCACAACGGGCTTTATGGTTAAAACATCATTTTTATTTTTGGACGACGAATTTTATAACACCTATCTTCTTAATTTGTACAACAGCAGGGATGCTAACGCACCCCACAGTTTGGTATACGCAGTCACATTTAAGAAAAAATGGAAGATACTGCAGAACGGTGTATAGATGTGAGTCAACTAAACATGAGCGAGCATAGAAAGGGAGTGCGTAGTTTAATTGTAGCGGTATTTATAGTAAAATTTTTCTTTAATCTGATTGGCTAAGAACTATACTCAGTGCAAGAGGCTAAGATGACATAATGTGGAATTAGTTTCCAGCTATAACGCTGTTTCGAAAAAGCTTTTTAGCATAGAGAGGGGGAAGTGCATACATTAAAAAGAAATTCATATTCATATAGTTACATATTTTTTATCTTACATATATATATATAAGAGGTTGGTTTATATATATATATATATATATATATATATATATATATATCCTTTACCCGGCTTAAAAGTCCTTACTCATCTTTTATTTTCGCAATCGTTCGTGGTAGACATATACTTCCAGTTACAGAAGTATTGTAAATGACGAAAATATTCGTGTTTTGGAAATTTCAATTTTTTTTAAATTAATTTTCGGACAAAGAACGAAATATAACATTTAATGAAATCTCCTAGTTCTTATACTAGTTTGGAAAATTTTATTTATTATCAATAAATTTTCATGAAAAAATAAAAACAGAAGTTCGACTCCCATACGACAAAAATTAAGCGGGATATTTATTTTCGAAATTTGCAATTTTTGATGTCGTTTTCGACTTGAGAGATCGGTTAATTAATTTGCAAGTTCAAATGAAGTGAAGGAAATATTTTTTTTTTTTTATAATTTAATAGGCGTTGAAAGAAGTTATGTGAAGTAATGAATGAAGTAATTGGAAGTAATAATAATTGTAATTAAACCTTGATATGATATTTTAAAATTAGAATCTTTATGAAAATGTTAATATGCTAATGAGGGGTTTTTTTGGTGTGTGTGTCTGGGATGATTCATTAATAAATTTTTATGCTGTTTTGTAAGAAGATCCAATTTTTTTTTTTTTTTTCCTTATAAGAACAAATACAGTGAACTAAACTTTCAGTCCCTTAAGGTTCGACTGTGTAATATTCCCTTTTCGTTATACGATTCAGAAATTAAGAAAGAAAAAAAGAAATTATTCTCAATTGCAATGAATTTTCTTTTGTTTTGTAATCATATATTGATCTGATTTTCAATATGAATAAGAAATTAGATAGAACAGCATATTTGAAGTACGACACATTGCTCGCAATTTTTTTAATATTTTAACTAACTGTAAACTATTAATTTTTTATTTATTACATACTATATTTAGGCATATCCATCTTTAAAACCACTTGGGTCATGGATTCAAGATCTAAAAATGAGGGTGGAACAATTTCATGATTGGTCTTCTTCAGGTTCACCTCCTATCAAGTTCTGGTTACCTGGATTTACCGCACCAAGTAGTGTTCTAAATGCTGCTTTGCAGATATCAGCAAAGGAAAATGATGTATGCATAAATATTTGACTTGCTACTCATTTTTACTTAAAATCATTAATTGATTATATGAATTTCATGTTAGCTCCTTGAGGATAATTTAACGCTTTACCATATTCACGCATCTGTTTTCCCATCCAGATGTTGTCAGGATGTGATTTAGAAATTTCTGATTTATAATAGTATCATACAGAGTATGGACGAATAGCAAAATAATGCGTGTAAATGAAAAGAATAGTATTTAGAATAATAAAATTACTTATCATTGGCTTTTTGAAATATACAATGCAATAATATTAATACATTTATCTGTTTATATATGTCTTTTAAATTTTTAATTTCATCTTTTAATGGAGAGGTGTCTATTCAGAGCCCATGGATCATATGTCTCATTAAAGATGTGCCAAGGAGCACATCGCCAGATGAAAGTACGCCAAAAGGCTACATGCAAAATTTAATGTTAATTGATGTCCAAATTACTATCTATATTACTTATAAGGTATTTCTTCCGCCTTCTTAGCATGCCTTCGTAGTGTAGTGGTCAGCACGCTCGACGAGTATTCGAGAGGTCTGTGGTTCGCGTCCCGGCGATGGCATTGCTCATTTTTCATGTTTCCTGCTTTAAAAAATAAATAATCTGATAATGCTACAGTAGCGCCCGAACTAAAAGGTGGTGAATGATGATTCTTCACCACCAGGATTTGGCGATTGGGTCCCCTGATTCCCAGTCGCCCTTTAAAAGAGGGGAGTATATAAGGTATTTCTCCCGCCCTCTTAGCATGTCTTCGTAGTATAGTAGTCATCACGCTCGACGCGTATTCAAGAGGTCCGTGGTTCGAGTCACGGTAAGGGCATTGTTAATTTTTCATGTCTCTTGCTTTCAAAAAATACCTAATGTCTCTGTATACTTGTAGAGACATTAGGATTTTTTTTTTTTTGAAAGCCAGCGGGATGAAAAATATGCAACCGCCTTCGCCGGGAATCGAACCACGGACCTCTGGAATACCGACTCAGTGTGCTACCGTTACGCCACGAAGGCACGCTAGGGAAGTGGGAGAAATACCTTACTAATGTGTCTCGTAAACCTACATTAACTTTTGAATCCAGAAATCTGAATACAGTATTTTATATTTAAAATACTGCATTCAGCATATTAAGCTCGTTTTTGAAAATCAAAGCATATTTGTCTAATTTATTTGTTACTATAGTGATCGTAAAAAAGAGCGTTCACATAGACAATTTTTTTATCCTCACTTTACTTTTCATAATTAGAGGAAACGAAATGATGCTTGCAATACATGTTTCCAAAACCAGGCATCATGAGCTAGAAATGTTCATGAAATGCTCAGAATTTTTCTGTAGATAAATTCAACTTATAAAGGTACATTTGAATTAATTTCCTTTATGCTACAGATTTGATTTAAGCCCTATAAATTCGATTTTCACTTTTGATATTAACTGAGAATGAAGCAGCTCATATATTTGGAATACGAGTGATATTTTCTAAAATTTTCAAATCTGTTCTCAAATTTTAATGACAAAACTGAGATCAAGGCTGCCTGTTTTTTGCATTTTACATGACTTTACCCATATAGAATTCCAGAGTGGATTGCATTATTGCCCCTAATATACCAGATTGACTCAATCCGAATTTAATTTTGAATATTTTCATTCTTCGAGAAACAGTATTTACTAATTAGTTTTGGTCTTGAAACATCACGTACTGTTCATTCAAATAAGGACTCATGTTTGTTAAAAAGTGTACAACCAATTCTCATTTACAGATTCAGCATCACGTATGATCTTTTTTTCTTTGCTCACTTTTTAAATAAACAAAGCTGGTCGCCTAGACTATAGCCTTGCTCTTTAACTCCCCCTCAGAAAAAAAAATGAACCACGTAATTTTCCTTGCTTTGATTTTAAAATATAATATTAGTAAAACAAGGAAGAGATGCGGGAGTAAATGTAGTAATGCATTTGATGGATAAAATTACAGTCTAATATTCACAATTGTTATGTGTTTATAAATATATAAATGTGCTGTAGAGATATTAGGTTAATTGGAAAAGCCGGAGAGATGAAAAATGAGCAAACGCCTTCCCCGGGAATCGAATCGCGGACCTCTGGAAATACCGGCCCAGCGTGTAGAACCAGTACACCACGAGGGCACGCTAGGAAGGCGGGAGAAATACCTTATAGTGCGTAATATTTAAGTCATAAACTTACATTCCTGTCCCTTAAAATCTTCTTTTTGCAAAAATTAAAACAATATTTCTAGATAATTAGTATTTCATCTCAAGCAGAAGAATTACTAATCAGTGAGTATTAAAAATATGTAAAATATTTTTGTTTATTGATGCGACTTACTGAAGAACAAGAGTTTTTAGAGCGTGATTTCAGCAAAGAATGATTTGTTTTCAGAGAACAAGCTGATGCAAACTTTTCCCTTAAAATACAAGACATATTAGCTTACTCTTTATTATTAGATATAAACAGTGGTGCACACAGCAGCTAAATTATTTGTTTCTAAAGAGAGATTCAGTTATTTTTCTCTCAAAATGAGAGCCATTTTATTTAATATCAGCGCCAAAATTTCAGTTTTTTCCGATTACTAGTATCCTTGCTGATTTATTTCTCTTCTGTAACTGTCATTGCTCACTGATTGCTTAAAAAATTTGTGAGAATATATTAATATCGAGTTGAAACGAAAGTTTTCCGCAACCGTAAATATCATCTGTGCAAGCGGTTAGCTTTGGCATGTTTAATAATATTTTTTAAACGATTTTTGGCATTTGAAACAAAGTAACTTGGTTTAGAACACTGTCTTGTGAAATTCGTAAAAAAAATATCGTTATCATTCAGTACAAGGTGTCTGAAATGGAACTATCATGCTACCAGATTAGAACTCTCATTTTCTTCCAGTTCTGTTGCAAAACGCCGGCTACAGAATGTCACCAAATGTGTACAGTACTAGCTAATGTTGTATCATATGACATTAGGAAGATTTGGTACTGAAAGTTCAAAAACAAAGACTATGACATTCAAGAAGCAGATCGCTATGGCCGGCCTTCTGATGTTGATGAGGCCCGCCTGCAAGAACTTGTGAAAGAACATCAGTATGCAACCACTCGAGTGCTTGCTAAGGAGTTAGACGTTAGCGCCATGTCCATAGCCGGGCTATACATTGTATCAACTTGACGTACAAGTTCAATCGCTGGGTGCCGCATGAGCTAACTCAAGCAGATAAAGACAAACGTGTTCGGACCTGCACTAATCTGCTCGAATATCAGCGTAAGGACAAAAGTCTGGACTGGATCGTCACTTGTGATGAAAAGTGGCTTTACTTCAACAATACAAGCCGAAAATGAGATTGGTCTGCGGCCGGTGAGCATCGCAAAGCACAATTTGACTAACAAAAACATCATGCTTTGTATCTAGTGGGATTGCCGTGGTATTATCCACAATGAGTGTCTGGAACACCACAATTATCCACAACGAGTGGTGTGCCTTATTATAAATTTCTCTATAATAAAGTGTACAGCGAGATGCTAGTCTATGCTGGCGCCGTTATCAATGAAGATGTCCAAAATGAGCTTGGCCTGTTTTTGGACTCGCATCCACCAAGTTTCTGGGCCGAAGGCTTTGAAAAACTACCAAAGAGTTGGCAGAAAATCATAGATTTGGGTGGAGATTACTACCAGCACTAAAGCTACTGCTTTTATGTTTCTTTTCTAACTTTATTAAGAATATTTTTAGCGGAGAATTTTCGTTACAAATATATATATTGAAATATTTTTTTTAATTATTTTCTTCTATTTTAACTCTCAGTTCATTTTGGTTTTCATAAAAAAGTAATAATTCTGTTCTTAATTTTACTCTCTCTCTAAAAAGATGCACCACGTTCTGGAAAGTCAGTTGAAGCTGATAGAGAGCTTAAGGAGATGAGGAACCCATATATGTCAAGTTCTGAGATTAAACCTAGGCATTTCAAATGACCATGAATGGTCGACTTCGATAAATTTAATCTCTCAAAGATCTCATGAGTTGTTATTCGCCGGTTTGCATCAATTAATGCCTGTGTCTTCATCAGCTTCAACTGGCTTTCCAGCACGTGATGCATCTTCAAGATCAAAACTGCTGAATGGAAATTTTGTACATCAGTTTTGGCACTGGCGTTCTGTCAAGACATCTTCTCCAAACACATCGGATAATTTTTTTCTTGCTTGAACAGCATTTTAACCTTTTCAATAGCAAAAAAGTCAAATACGCCAAAAATGCTTTTTTTCATTTCCATATCTAAAAGAGCACCAACCAAAACCTACTGCGTAGAATCAATCGAACGTTTTCGCAAACAAGCCTTGCTATATCAGCTGTCAAAATATATAATGATTATGCAACTCATGTGTGAAGTTGCTGGTGAAAAAATAGAATTGAGCCCTCTGTTGGGGAAAAAAATTAAATTACTCTCCGAACAACTTTATATTTCAGGCACTGAAGCTGGTTCTGGTGTGAGACAGTATGTTACTCCTAAGTAATGTTAAAAACAGTAATAATAATGATCTATCATTTTAGTCATTAACTGAAAAAAGAACTTGTTTTCATTTTCTGCTTTCACTCTTTCATAGTTATAAGCTATCCCATTCAGTTTTATAAAATTGAAATCACCATCATGTTCATTTCCATAAAAATACATACACTTTTCTTATTTACAAGTTGTGTTCGAAAAGTTCGGTGATTGATCTCATAATTAAAAAACCGCGTCGTTAGGATCTTGCACTCACGCAGACGCAGTGACAGAAATGTCATCTAGAGCCATCTAACAGCCATTTTACGACAGATAAGAGGAAGCGCACGCTATGAGCAGTTTAACACAGTCAGTGTGAGAAAGATTGTGAGTGTGACATGGGCAACGCATAAAGTTTTGCTTCAAGTTAGGCAAAACGGCGACGGAGACACAGGACATGTTAGTGAAAGTTTACGGTCAGGAAGCAGTGAGTAAAAAGTATGTTTATGAGTGGTTTAAACGCTTTACAGACGGAAAGGAGGATGTCAAAGATGAGCCGCGGTCGGAGTGCCCTACAACAAGCACAATTCCAGACAGTGTGAAACGCGTTCGACGGATGCTTGCGGCAGATCGACGACTATCTTTAAGAATGATAGCTGGCGAATTGCAGATAAGCCTAGACAGTGTGAGCACCATTGTGCACAAACATTTGCATAAACGTAAGATATGCGCCCTGTTTGTACCGCACTCGCTGTCAGACGAGCAAAAGCAATACCGAGATGGAAACATCTGGAGATTTTATCGACGTGTGTGACCGGAATCCGCAATTCTTGGAAACAATAATTACAGGGATGAGTCGTGGTGCTTTCAATATACGATCCGGAGACCAAGCGGCAATCCATGGCATGGTGTTCAACGTCGTCACCCACCTCCCAAAAATAGTCGTTTGACACAATCCAGGATCAAGACGTTGTTGATCGTCTTTTTCGACAGTAAGGGTTTGATCCATCGTGAATTTGTACCCGCGGCTACAACCGTCAATGTGGAATACTACGAGGGGGTTTTGAAACGGTTGCTGCTACGCATACGCCGGATTCGGCCACAGTACCGGAATGGACAGTGGAATCTGCTCCATGACAACGCCCGGCCGCACACTGCAATCCGTGTAACCCAATTCCTCGACAGGCACCAGGTTCCAGTTTTGGATCACCCTCCATATTCTCCAGATCTGGCTCCCGCGGACTTCTTCCTGTTTCCCCGCCTCAAAGGAGTTCTGAAAGGCCAAAACTTTTCCGACATTACTGAGATCCAACAACGTGTGACAACGGTGCTTCGAGCCATACCGAAAGAAGCGTTTGCAGACAGTTTCCAACAATTGTACACCCGATGTCAGAAGTGTATTGTTCCTAATGGCGAATACTTTGAAGGTCAGTAAAGCTATTTTGCTTGTGTTCTCTTGTTTCCTTTTTTATGGTAAAATTCACCGAACTTTTCGAACACACCTTGTATAAGCTCAACGAAATGGAGATACTCAGGTTTTAAAATCTGAAATATGTGTCAGTCTTTTTTTTTTTTTTTTTTTCCAACTTGACCTATATTTCTAATTTTAAAAAGAAAAGTATATACCTAATTCTGTTTTTAAGTGATTTTGATTTGTTATTGTATGAGAAAACCTCAAGATTTCTCTTTACACCATTTCTTTTGATCGAATATTATTCAACAACTTCTTTTTAAGAATCCCCATATCATATTAATTCTATAAAAATATTTCCTAGAATTTAGTATTTATGACAAAAATGCCATTATATAATGGAAGTTTCTGAAATTGTTTTAAATGTAACTGGAATACATATTCTGTGTATTAAAATTTTCCAAATAAAAACTATACTAACGTAAATATACACTTTGCTACAAAGCGCATTATTTTACTACTACGGAGTATAAATATCGCTTCCAAAATATTTCAGGTTTTGAAATTGATTTAATTACATTCTTCACTTTAATTAATTGTTTAAAAGGGATGCAGAAACATTAGTCTATATATATATCTACGAGAGACGTGGAAAATGAGCAATGCCGTCGCCGAGACTCGAACCTCTCAAATACGCGCCGAGCGCCCTGGCCTTTACACCATGAAAACATGCTAAGAAAGCGGGAGAAATACCTTATAATAACAGTGAAAAAATAGTTATTTAATGAGCTTCTATATATCAGTTATATTCTTTTGCATTTTTATATTTTTAATAGTTGACACATTTTCTTCATGAAGGATAATTTGTGTATGTATCTGTATATAATAATCTTTATTCATTCATAAAATAAGTTTAAATAAAACAAGGATCTTGGAAAAATACATAGTTTGTTTTCAAAGTAAGGGCCGTTATGCAAACTTACTTTGAAAACGCGGGTACTTACTTTGCGCGGGTGGCAAAAAGTGCTTGCGTCGTGTTTCGGCATCCTTTAGAAACAACTGTGCTCTGTCGCAGCTGTGTAGGTAAATTATACGGTCTGTTCTGTGTCTTTAAAATGTTCAAGATTATCGAATCTCCCGCCACGTTTTTTGCCGGCAAGAAATCTGTCTGCTGCAGACCTTCACTAGTAGATTTGTGAAGTTTACGAAGCTACTGCCATAAGTGAAGACAAAGTGCATTAATGGGTCAGAGACTTCAAAGCTGGCCGCGACAACGTCCATGATGAGTCCCGCTCTGGTCGCCCATCTGTAATCACAGACGATATGGTGACTTCGGATGAAGCACAAATTCTTGAGAACAGATGCTGCACCATAAGCACACTTTCAAACGAATTTCTTGAAGTGTCTAGTGTAGGACGGGAAAACAGTCGTGACCTCTTCGTTATCGGGGCAGGCGGCAAGTTTCCACGAAGAGCGTATTCAAAATCTAGTTCTAAGGTATGATAAGTGTTTAAACAAACTTGAACACTCTGTTGAAGAATAGAGAAACGTATGTAGAATTTGAAAATAAATTTGGTTTTGGAAAATTTTCTTTCGTTTAGTTTTTATTTTCAAATGACCCTTACTTAAAAAACACCCCTCATATAATTGAAGATTTCGATATGATGACACTAATTATTTGTACTGAGCTTTCGCTTTTGAAGCTTGTTTATTTTTTCACTTGCACTGTACATTTTTATGCAACACTACTGGAGAATGTATTTGCCATATAGAAAGAGAATGGGGGTACATAGGGTATAGTAAGAACAGCAATAATAATTAACTGAAAAATATATTTATAAACATTTAAAAAATATGCTTGATAAAATGAATAAATAATAATTAAATTTATCTATGAAATATATTATTGTTCATAAATATTTAAATGAGTTTATTGAGCAAAATGAAGATCTATAATTTCAGTTTATTTCTCCATATATTTTCCTCCTTATTGGATAAAAGAATTTGTCGCTTTGTATAATTTTGCATGAAGTGACAATTATTGTATTTGTTCATGGAGAATGTAGCTGATTGAATTTGATGGGTGTTATTACAATTTTGCTGAAGTTAATCTATTGTTTAATTGCAAGAATTAATTTACTGCAGTCATTAAAACTGAAGTTTTTGGATGTATCTGAAAAGTCTTAGGAATTCTTATTAAAACTTTTTTTAAAGTGATCGGTGAACAGTTTTTGAAGTGAATTAAAGTGAATCTAATGATTAGTAAATAGTTTTCAATAGTTATGTATTACAAATCACTACACATTCATTTGCACAGTGATTGTTTCAAAGATTTTAATTTTTTTATATAATTTATATATTAATTTTATTTGTACAATTAATATAAATCTGTATGTTTAGGTGATGCTGAGAGATCTAGTTTGGGAATACCATGTTTCTACGCTGGATGAAGCTCATATCAAAGAAGCTCCACCGGTAAGACAAAAATTAATAACATACATTCAGTTAGATAGATAATTTAGTATATCTTTGTAGAGTTTTTGTAAAAACTGATACTCTGTTTTACCTAAATTGATAAAAACTAAAACATAGTTATTCACATTAAACATATTATTCAGTTAGATAGATAATTTAGTATATCTTTGTAGAGTTTTTGTAAAAACTGATACTCTGTTTTACCTAAATTGATAAAAACTAAAACATAGTTATTCACATTAAACATATTATTCAGTTAGATAGATAATTTAGTATATCTTTGTAGAGTTTTTGTAAAAACTGATACTCTGTTTTACCTAAATTGATAAAAACTAAAACATAGTTATTCACATTAAACATATTATTCAGTTAGATAGATAATTTTTAGTATATCTTTGTAGAGTTTTTGTAAAAACTGATACTCTGTTTTACCTAATTGATAAAAACTAAAACATAGTTATTCACATTAAACATATTATTCAGTTAGATAGATAATTTAGTATATCTTTGTAGAGTTTTTGTAAAAACTGATACTCTGTTTTACCTGAATTGATAAAAACTAAAACATAGTTTCGGTTTTGATTTCTATCTATTATGAAGACCTTAGGAAACTGATGTATACGATATAGAACCTTTATGTATATCGTATACATCAGTTAGATCCTTCATGATCTAACTAGATCCTTCATGTATAAAAAACAAAGTTAAAATATTTTTATTATGTTTAGTTTATTAGTTACTGTGTAGTGTCTTCTAGTACGTTTTGGAATCATACACTGCAGACCCCACTAAAAAGACTAAGTAGCGAATTCTCGCTAGGTCTTGGAAGAACAGATGTCTGCAGAAGAAGGTTTAAAAAACCTTTTTATTTGAACTAAACTGAACAGAAACGCACTCCCTCGGTGCTCACAATCTACCACCACATGTATCTAAGTAATTTAACAGAAAAATAAGATGTACAATCACAATAAAGTAAGATCGGCTACACGACTTTCTCCTTCTTTATCTCAACCGCTAAATCGGCTGCACACAGCACTTAGAATATCAATATAATCTAAAGAGATTGGCTAAGCACCAACTATTCACGTGCAAAGCTACTTCAAACATGCGCCATCAATTCGGAACTAACTCTCCTACTATTACTCTTAAAACCGCTGCTTAAATACTGATTCCGAACACACTTAGATTTGCATACGCGTCATTAAAATTTACATTCTGGCAGAAAACTGAAATCAGAAAGGAAAGGGAAGTTTCTAAAATTAAAAATAATTGGTTAGAATAAAATAAGGTCTTTACAACTGTACACATGATAGTATGTTTACTTAGTGACAATTTTTATCATTATGTTAAGAATTCAGAAAGAAATCTTAATATTTGAAATTTTGTAAATTTGGTATCCTAATTACAAGCACACAGAATAAAATATAGATCTAAAAGATAGATATTTGTCTTTTTTATTAATCAACAGAGTAATTAAGTCTTTTTACTTCCTTGTACGAAGTAAAAAGGAAGTATTGTAATCGCGAAAAGTTTCAGGCAGCATATTTCAACGAAAATATCCATTTTGACCGCTATCGAATGCAATTTAACGATGTTTTTGCGTGATATCTGTACGTAAGGACAGAATAAAATACTCTTTTCCTTCAAAAAAATTATAAAACTGCTTTAAAATTAATTCTGAAGAGAATTTTTCGTGGCGTCTGTACGTGCGTATGTACGTACGTACGTACGTTCCTCGCATAACTCGAAAACGAGTAGCCTCAGAACGTTGAAATTTTGTATATAAGACTGCTATAACATGTAGATGTGCACCTCGTATTTTGGTTGCAATCGGCCGCACCAAACGTATATAAATATATTTATATATATATCCACTCTATTACCCGGCTCAATGATCTCAATTTCTTTACCTTTATATGCTTGTAAATTGTACATTTTTTTTTTCTTTAAAAATGATTGAATTATATTTTTATCTTCCGGTTAAGGATTTTATGCCTTTAGTAAATCTGTGTGCAATATTTTTAGAATTATCAGCAATTGTAAAGTTGTTTAATTGCCGCTAAGCCTGTTTTTAATGGCGGCCATTGATATTTACATTTGAAACAGGAGACTAGTGGATTTGTTGCCAATCTAGAGAAACTTAGCTTCGCAACAACAAAGATAACGCATTCATTTATTATTGCCAATTAAATCATGCTTAATTCTTTCTGGAATTTTTTCGAGGAAATAAGCGTTTGATATTTACTTCGTAATTTTTAATATAGATATTTTGAGTTTTTATGCATTTTTGCCTTCTCGCGAAGTAAGAACTGAATTAATTAAATGAGAAATACTCAATCGTCTGTGAAAAACTTTTTCTTTTTTGTTTTATTTGCTTAATTTCTTTTTTATACATAGTTCTAGCTTTATTATAGTATTTGAATAGAATATGTGGCAACGATTAGATAATTTCTTTAAATGATATACATTTTGTGCATTCTGAGTTATAATATGAATGAAATATAATACTGTTAAGTAAACCTAGCGCCAGAGTGTCGCTATGGTAAACAAAGTGAATTTTAAAGAATGCATTTATTCTATTGTGGTTTATGCGCTGTCGGCGAAGTAGGTTTAATTCAATCTAATAAGTTTAAATAAAATGCAAGAAAAAATGCGTATAATTTAATATTCCGTACAAGGAAGTCATGTGGTGTACACATCAGATTTTTTAACTTTATAGTGGAAAGTTACATGAATGTTAAAAGCATTTTTTTTGTTGAGCGCAGAAAAAAAACTTCTTCCTATTTTATTGTTAATTCAAGAATTTTTTAAATGCATAAACTTCAGTACTGTATGTTTTGGGATGCTTTATAAACCTTCAACGCAACTTTATACGCCATGTCTACAAAAGTTCTCACCGTGCACAAATTGAAGAACGAAATTTTTGCATTTGTACGTCATTGAAAATAAACAGTCATTTAGAAAGTTTCTGATGTTAAGAGATTAAGTTACGAGGATTTCTATGCAGATTATTGTCAAAATTATTGATCACGATATTTTTTTTTAATTTCAAAAAGGAAATTTTATTCACAGAATCTTATAGAATACATGTTCTAAAAAACACTGGCAGGCTTCAGTGTTGGCACGTACCCAGCTCGAAGTATTATTTGCATTAATTAAAAGTTAAAAAGATTTTTACTTCAATGAATTTTGTACGATTACTAGAGGAGGAACCCCACGAGGTGAAAAGGGCGACGACGTGTTTTCGCGAGCTCCCGTTTTTACTGTTTTTCCCTACGATATAATAATTGCATCACAGCGAAAATAATATCATCGGCTAGCTCCTCACAAGCTGCGCATTTTGATATAAAATTTATGAGAATCCGCCTATTCGTGCTTTAATATCAAGCATATTAAAAGGGGAGTCATTGTTTGTCTCGCGACCTCCGACGCCTATTGTGGAATGCGGATTTTGGAGCGAAGTGCGGATTTGCAGTGTTTACTTCCAAAGTGATATCTCCGGATCTAATAGGCATCCAACTTCAATCTAAGTACCATCGAAAAGTGAAAGACCTGCTCTTTTCAACGATACCACTGCCGTGTATGTGAAGTGTTTGTGCAATTTAGTACAGTGTGTTAATTCTGTGATGTTTTAGTGATAATTTTGGATTAATACACCTGCATCTCCGGCCTAGGCCATAAAATTGTCTTTAATTTGATACCTCACTTGTCTTAATAGCATAATTAGTAGCTGAGTGTCATCTGTTTTAATTACATATCTTCTGTGTGACCTTGCACTTTCCCCAGCACCACAGACCCGACTTGATTTTTAGTCGTAGGGGCGCAGGGTCGGACCAGCAGGACAGGTCACTTATCGCGGTTGTCTGACGACTTCACCCTTCTAGAGCGCATGCGCGTCTAGTCTAGTGGAGTGTGGTTGACAGTCGCCCTGCACGTGTGTTTGTTTACGTTTAGTACTTTGCTGTTTTGAGCGTAGCTCGCCACCAGTGTTCCTTTTGATACGTTTCTGTTGTTTACGATTGACATTCTAGCGACTTTATCTACGCACTTATCATTCCCACTATCCTACTGTTACGTGGATGTTTTTCTAATTGTTAATTGTTATTTATTTATTTATTATTATTACTATTTTTTTTTAAATTTTACCGTTGCTTTATGAGTACCTATTCTAATATTAATAACTATTAATATTACTGTTATTTTTATATCTCTGTGTGTAAATCCTTTGTATTGTGCACTGTGTTTATGATTTGTAATAACTCCCACAAATGTGTTATATAATTCTTAATCTTTGAAATTCTGTTTCGTATTAAGGTTATGCAATAACTTTCACTTGTTTTTATTATATCTGTTATATTGTCCACATTTCCTTCAGTTACGATTGTTTTATATGCTATTTATAACTGTTTTATTATCCTCATATCCTTCACTCACGATTGTTTTATATGCTTCCGTTCAGTGATTTTGTGGCTAGGAGTATTATCTTTGTTACTATTGCCTAGAACTGTTATGGTGTAAAAATTAGCATTATTTTACATTTTACATTTTATTTTACATTTTAATACGTTTTACATTTTTAAATAACTCTCAGCACATTCAGATTTTAATGCCAAAAGTATTTCTGTGTGTAACGCTTTCTTACGCACTTGATTCTGTAGTGTTTTCCACGTGCTCCTTATGCGCACTGCTTTAGTAATATCTCATTTTAGTTATTAAGTTGACCGTATATTTCTCTGTTTCCCTGCGGTTTCACTCATTATAGCATCGTACTCAGGGACCCTGGTTAATCTCACCATATCTGATTCTTATATATGAATTAATCCATTCCTTGTCCTTCATATTTGATTTATATCGTATCTAGATTATTATTGATTGTTCTTATCGTTATATGATTGATTTAATCTGTATAGCTACATTTAATTGATTGCCCGCAATATATTGTTCTTCCTTGTATACCTGTTTCATACCATTCAAACACCCGCAATCGATGAGCACACAACTTACCACACATATTAATCATCTGTAAATCTTTAGTGACTTAG